AACGCCAGGTTGGGAACAGGGACTCTAAAGAGAACGACTGTCTAAATGAGCTGAACTGATAAAAAAATACTGAGATGACTGCATCCTTTAACATAAATACTTCGTGTCAGTTTTGTTTGTAGGAAATGACTATTGTTACAGCAGTCTACTTATATAAAGCAACAGAAGTGTAGTCTGTTGAACAAAAGAAACATTATTTGAACTTATGGCTGCTATAACTCTGTGTTGTGCCTTTGTTTTATTGCAGAATTCAGTCATTGGAGATATCAAGAGATAGTTTACCCTGTAGTTTAATAATGGTCAGAAATCATGCTGGAAAATCAGAGGTCATAGGTCATGCTAAAATAATGGAAGCCCAGGGTGTAGACAAGGCTTGTTATATTGAAAGTGGTAAGGTTTTAATATTCAATCAATTTTTGAAGAGGGGATGTAGCTCTGTTGGTAAGGAATTCTCAAGACCTTAAATTAGTCATCATCCACTTTTTTCCAATCAATCCAGCTGAAAATGGGCATTGATAATCCTGGAATGATCAATGTCAAGAGGTTAAACCAATGTAGACAAGATCCATGAAAAAACCATGCTGATCATGAATTGATATTTAGAAATTTTGTGTTTTTCTCATATTTTGTAGTTTTTATAAGAGAGGATTTGAGAGGGAAAGGATATGGAAAGAAAATTATGCTGGAAGCTGAAAAATATTCTTCAGGGTAAGGATGTTATTGAGCTTTCTCTTGTTCCAGCAAAAAGCAACAAAGTAGATATATTTGTGTATTCTCAAACACAATTGATATAAGACAATCACAAATCTTAAGAAATCATATGTACATTATGTGCTCCAGTTAGCTTTCATATTATCATATAATTTCTCAAATTCAGTGTTTGTTTTCTTTGAAGATCTATAGATTGAACTATTATATCTATGCTTTATTAATCATTTATTTCTATACATTTATATTTACAGGAAAGGTTTTAAACAGATGTTTCTCAATACCTTAGATAAACAAGACTTTTACAGCCATCTTGGATATAAACTAAGTCATCCTGTTCTAACATTAGGAGCTAATGCTCATAGAATACCTCAAGCTATGGTAAGAAAGGACTGTTGACTGTTGACTGTTGATCAGCCAGATCAGTTCTGATATTGGGAGCTGCACTTGATGAGCTCGGCTAAGGATGTCTGACATTTGGAGATGACCAAGCACATTATTTTTTTCAAGGTCATTCTGCTTTCTCGCGTCAGTAGGCAAAAAATATTTAGATTCTGTAAATGGAAATTGTCCTCCAACATAATAAAATCTTGTTCTGCTTTGAAAAATTTAGATCAATATCAGAAATGATTATCTGTCATCTTAATCATACCAATTTATCTCCCTTTATTTCAGATTGATCAGCTAACCAAAACCAATATCAAGAATTCCTGCTGTAAATCTTCAACGAAATCCGATAATCCAACCAATACCTCTCAAAATATAACATGTTCAACGCAATGTTCTTCAACCAAAACTTGTCCAGATGCAAGTGTTCCATCCCCACCCGCAGCACCACAGGCACCTCCTGCCCCACCCCTACCAAAGATTGAGAAAAAATGTTCAGGGACTGCAAATAAACATGTAATGAATCAATGCTGTGATCCAACAAAAGTTACTTGGATGAAAAAAGATATTTGATGATAAAATTCATTTGTATCCTGCATTCAATGGGGTGGGGGGTGGGGAGGANTAGTCAATTGCCGTCTTACTACGATGTATCCCTTTAAGTTGTAGTGTGAGGGAGTAGGGAGGGGCCTGCTGATTGTACTGATGCACAAGAAAAAAAGAAGGTTAGTGCCCTATTGTTTAACTCACAACTCTCCGACTTAATGTAAAGTTTGGTTTAGTTTTCTGTATGTGTCCTTGTTGTTGTTTACCAATATAAGTCTGTTGTACCTAAAACAATAAACAAAAATATTAAGCATATTGTTTTTTCAAAATCATGACTAAGAGTTCCGATTGATCAGGGTAAATAGTTCATTATTGAGAGGGAGGGCGGATATGAATTCCAAACATTCCTTTCTACAGTGGAAGTGAATGACAGGAACCCCAGACATCTGACTAAAAAGTTGAATGGTGCAAATCACTGCTATCAGTGTCCCCTAAATTTTAAGAAAATCTCTTTATAATCCCTTGAATCCTCATATGACCTTGGATCTCTACAACCAATATTACCAAGATTATTAAGAA